AATTTTTTTTTTTTTTTTTTTTTTGCATTCACTAGGATTCAGATCTGCTAATTTGTTTTCAGAAATGCTGCTGTCACTGTTTGGTTAATCTTCTATTTTTCTCTCTCAATATGAATATAATTGCAGGTAGAACTGGTTGAGCCTGCTGTAAAAGGTACACTCAATGTACTCAAGGCATGCTCTGAAGCAAATGTCGGGCGTGTTGTATACGTATCATCTGGTGCTGCTGTTGTTATGAACCCTAACAGGCCCAAGGGTCAAGTTATAGATGAGACTTGTTGGTCAGACAAAGAATACTGCAGATCATCAAATGTAACTGCCTGATAAATTCATGACATGAGATTTTGTTATTTTATCGATATCTTAGATATTACTGGCAGAAGGTTATATAAGATTTTTTCTCCCTTATTAACTTGACCACTCGATTCTATGTGTACGCAGAACTGGTATTGTCTTTCCAAAACGTTAGCCGAGAGTGAGGCTTGGGAATATGCAAAGAAGAGTGGACTTGATGTTGTTTCTGTTTGTCCAAACCTTGTTTTGGGGCCAGTGCTGCAGAACACAGCAAATTCTAGTAGTCTGGTTCTTATTAAGCTTTTGAAAGGTACCTACCCACATCATTACTCCTTGCTGAATACATTCAGTTTCATGAGTTAATATGGTACTCTTTTTCTCTATGTTCATCACTGTGTATTATCGTTTACCTATTCTAATTTATGTTTAATTATTCTTAGTCTCTGGAGTTATCTCTACTACATGTTTGAGTGTCCTAAGATGATATATATGTTACTTTTAAGCTATAGCTGGACCACTTGAAACATTGACTAATAAATTAACATTTAGTTGAGTTCTGCACAACGTTCTGGCCTGTTCCCAACCCGCAGATTCCAAGCATAAACGCTGTTGATAAAACTTTGGACTAAGCTTAACTTTCAAGAAGCTCCATGGCATGGGAGGGGGACAACAATTTTTCGGATGACAAGATAACTGTATGTTTCTATCCTTTTGAGCACAGTGTTTCATGAGCAAAAACAACTTTAACATTTTTTTGTATTTTCAAATCGTATCCAAACCCACCACCATTCAAACTGAGACATATCAGGGGTGTAAACACAAATAAGATTCATAAATATGTAGGATAAACAGGATGAATAATGTAATTACTTATGAGATATCCAATAGCTGTTTACATCCTCAAATCCACCAGGTGCCATTAACTGTACACTAGAAGTCACATTAATGAATGAAATTAAACCTCAAATCTG